TGCACATATGACTTCCAGGAGCTATTGTCTCAGTGTTAACTGGCCTAGTGTAGACTCTCTTTAGTGAATGGACAAACATTACAGCCTTTTAATTGTCTTTCTTGATATGTTTTGTCTGTCTGTCTGTCTGTTTGTCTGTCTGTCTTTACTTCTAAAGTATGTGCAACCCTTGCTTCTAGCCCACAGCTGTCACAAGTACTACATAAATGAATGGATATATGGCATCAAAAGTTACATTTCTCTGTTGCTCCCTTGTGTTTTAAGAGGCTAATGGTGACGAGATCGCAGCTGTTCGACCTAGGAATCTAGCACTCAAGCCCATTAACTACATGGAAGCTGTTGGGCAAATTACCTAGAGCTTCTGTGCTTCTCGGAACATCCATATCCAGTAGATTCCATCTCTACAGTAAAAAAGTTAATCACAACAAATATTTGAAACAATGAGGAGGATTGTGAGTACCCAAAACTTCCTACCTGTTGGAGCTGGAGATGTGGCTCAGCAGTTAAGATGCTTGCTACCCTGGTAGAGAGGTAGAGTTTGGTCCCAGAACCCATGTTGAACAGTGTAGAAAGAACTATAACTTTAGCTCCCGGGGATCCCATGCCTTCTTCTGGCCTTTGAGGGCATCTGTACACGTTCCGTGTGAGTGTGTGTGTGTGTGTGTGTATACACTACACATACACAAACACAAATAATAATAATAGTAATGTTAATAAAATAAAATCTTAGAAGATTTTTTACATGTTTCTGTCTTTATTTAATGCTACTTAGGTACTTTTCTGTTGCTGTGATTAAAACACCACGACCAGGACAGCTTATGAAAGAAAGCATTTTCGCCTGGCCTTACTATTTCAGAAGGTTACATTCTATGATGCAAGAACAAAAGCATGGTGGCAGGAAAAACTGAGAACTCACATATTAAGACACAGCCATGAGACAGAGAGAGCACACTGGGAATACCACAAGTTCTTTGAAGCCTCAAAGCTGTTCACAGTGAAACACCTTCATCAACAAGGCCACACCCTATATTCCTTCCCAAACAGTTCCATCAACTGGGAACTATGTATTTAAACATATAAGCCTGTGAACACTATTCTCATTGAAACTACCATATATACAGTTACTGTAGATTTGGAACCTAAATTCCAGTTCAGTATTCTGTGCCATATAGAGTCTATCTTTACTTTAGGCTAGCAACTCAAGGAACCATCAAATTCACCAAGAACTCTCTTGCTTGCTTTTTATTTTAACTCAAACCTACATTTTACTTCTCAGCTCTTCTACCTGGACATATGGAAGAAACATATCAAGAAAGACAATTAAAAGGATGTAATGTTTGTCCGTTCACTAAAGAGAGTCTACACTAGGCCAGTTAGCACTGAGACAACAGCTCCTGAAAGTCATATGTGCAGTCAAAAAAATGAGGCTGTAAGTAGCGATGGGTCAGCCTAAAGAGGAGTGGCTTGTGAGAGAGTTCAGCATTCCACCCCATGAAAAGATAGCCATAAATCTCTCTTAGTATGTCTAAGCTTTGAGAGGAAGGAAGACCATGAAAGGTCATACTTCAGTCTTTAACAACTTTAACCCTGCTAATAAAATGCATCTGGAGTTAGACTAAGCTTTCTCATCCTGTGACAGACTTGCTAAATCTAGACATCAAAGAGATTTTCAGGCATCTCTCTACCACTAACTGATCAATATCCCTAAGTTCTTTCAACTAAACCAACTTAGCTAATGAACATATTTAACTCAGTACAAGCTAAAAGAGAAACATCGCTTTGTCAAAAGACTGATCAATAGAATATGGACATACCAGTATTCTATAGCAGGTCGAAAACTGATGCTTCTAGACACAAAGGAAGCAAGCTTAGGGCCAAGTAGAGAACTCTTTGAGACCTCCCTGAAGTCTTTAATGCCTTTCAAGAGATAGTCGAAGGGATACTAGAATTTCCATGAATGGCTGAAATCTGCTTTTGCAGTGTGATTTTGCTCACATTTGAATATAGCATCCACTATCCAGGCCACCTATAATCTATTCAAGGACTGCACTTGCTCCTGTGTCTCTTGCTTGTGAGTTCTTCTGTGGATGCTGGACACGTGTCTGCTATTGGCTTATATTGCCCTCTAGTGAATGGTGGTCCCCAAATATTGCACTAGTATGAAATTTTAATAAGGTAGAAATTTGTACCTGACATGCTCCAAGGCTAATTTGGAGCTGCAATGTACTTTGTGAATATCTTTTGCCTTGTAGTCAAAGTTTCTATTTTTTTCAATGTGGCGCTTGAGTATGTTTGGCCAAATTTGAACATGTATTATGTCTCTTGAAGCAAATAAAGCTTTGCTTCGAAAAGTGGGGGAGGGTAGCAGGAGTTAGTGGAGGGAGTTGACTTCAGAAGCCAGAGAAAGAAATGTAGATAAAGTGAAACTATTACTAAATATTTAACCTATAGAGGTTTGGGAGGTTGGCAGAGAATTCAGTGAAGGTAAGAGGAACTTTGAGTGGAAACAATCAGCACTGTTTGGACCATGGTAGCAATAATTACAGAGGAAGTATATGAAGACATCTCTTGAAATTCCTGTTATACTTTACTTCATTTAAGAGAACATTGAAGGGCTATGAGCCTTTTTTTGAATTATTCATTTTTAAGTTAAAATATTAATTGAATATTTTTGAGGGATGAGAGGTCACCTTACGAATGCCAAGAGACTGTGTAATATTTTATATTATCCTAAATTCCTTTTAATGTTTTAGACCCCTCCAATAGATTGCTGAGGGCACTTCTGTCTGCTCTTTTCCTTTTCCTTTTTAAAAACATATTTTGAGCAAAGTACTGCTCATCGGCAATTCTTAATGAATTGCTTTGAATTATTTAAATGTGTCTCTCAATTTTAAACGTTTATCACTGAAATCCCTGTTTCTTTCTACCAACCCTAGAAATTTTGTGTGTGCTTGCAAAGTCAGAAGAGGTGTGCCTCAGAGGAATTCACAATGCACTCTGGTTTTACAAGCCAAACAATGCAGTCCTTAATTTGAAATCTCTCTCTCTTTGCATATCCTTATCTTCTTAAAATATTTAGTTGGGGATCTTATGACAGGAGATTTTTTTTTCTTTTTCCTAGGGTTTCACTATTTCCTGAACCGGATATAGTATGAAATAAAAAAACGCATTGTATTTCTCTTTGAATTCAAATCAAAAGATGTTGACTAACAAAGCCTGCTGAATGTTCAAAACAGAGGATTAGAAGCATTGCACTGTATCTGGTTTTAGCTCCAGGAACTGGTGTGAAATTGTCTTCAAAGTGAGGGTGTATATGGCAGCCTCCATCTCCCAAGCCTGAGGCTTGGCTGCTGTTGTCTGGATGAGATTCCCTATCCCAGCTCATGTACCCCTTTGAAGTGCTGTGTCGTCGTTCAGTATCTTCACCACGAACAAGCCAACAACAGTTATGAGAAGAGAGCTTGAATTCAGTTGTTTAGAACACTTTTTGTTTGCCAGGAACTTTTCCCTTCTGGCAATAAGGGAACAGACACCATAAAACATAGTCCAGACTGCATGGGGCTCATCAAATGAAAAAGTACTTAGTTGGCAAGGAGTGAGATTTCACTGCTAATTATAGATTCTTCTCCCTTATTAGTTCTTCCATTTGTTCGGCCTTACTTTGGAAGCGTAACGCTTCTACATGAGAAATCCTTTTGGAAAAAAAAATGAGAAGAGAGGGGTTTGGACAAACTGGTTTCCCCTTTAGCTTTTTAGAAGTCATTCTGGTTGATGCAGGAGATGAGTAGTGTACTCTGGTATCAAAAGTTACTGAAAGGATGTTTCATGACTCATAATGAAGACCATACACATAGAAAATATTTTTAAAGTTAATATTTCAAACCAAATGTTGGGGAAATGTCTCAGACTATGCTAGTTGGTAGGTTGAGCCCCACTCTATCTTGCTTTTTCTTGATGCACTTGTCTGGTTATTACCTATATCACTATCAATCAAGACACATTTCTTCTATATGTTTGTTTGTTTGTTTGTTTGTCTCCAAGAGGTGATGCATTAACTATTCTATCAGGGATTATCCATTTACCAAATATTTTTAAAGCACTGATTACATTTAAGATATGCTGGCTTGAAATGAAAGAAAAGAGTAACTGAGTATTGTGAAGAAATGACTGAGTAGTAAGAACTCTTACCATGTTCTCGTGACGTCATCACCCACGCTTAAAAAAAAAAGAGTGGGAGGTGGCCACTCATACCTGTAAAGCACTGTTGTGTCATAAGATACAGGAGGACCATGGATGTTTTCAGGCTGTGAGCATAGCTCCAGATTCAGTGTGAGATTCTGTCTCGAAGGTTGAGTGTGATGGATCAGGAAAGTTAAACACACACAAACATGCTTGAGCACATATACCATACACACATATTACCACACTCACAAAAATACACACATAGAGGAATCAAGGAAAATAAATTTCATATATACCCATAAATGATAACCTGTGAGCCAGCTACCATTCACTCTTCTAAGTTGACAAGTTATTGTGGCAGAGTGGATGACTTATTGGCAAAGGATTTTGTCCTTGGTCAAAGCTGAAATATTAGTTTCTTCAGTTCATGTGGTGTCTTGAATTTTGAACCTCATTCCAGTATCTCCGTAAGGAGATCACAGATTAATTTTTCATGAAACCTTTCAAATTTTTATTAATTTTATCTTCTGCCAGCATATTCTTTTTTATCAGAAGTCTTGCAATTTTTTAAAAGACTAAGGTATTTCATACATACTCTAATTTTGATTTTTCAGCAGAATTTTATAGATATTCAATATCTGAATTTTTCTCTAGATTAAAATGCTAAATATGAAACATTAAGCTTTTGAGTCAGGTAGAATTGAATTTTAGGGATTCTGAGTATTAGCATTTTGCTATAAATGGTATTACTTATGTATTAGAGTTTAAATAATCACACTCTTTACTGGAAAGAGCTAAATGTTGTTTAATGTCTTTAGGTGGTTCGAACTCCTGGGATCTGTTCATTTGCCTGCCTTCTAGGGAAGCTGATGGGAAACCTTGCATATCCAGGGAGCACATGTGTCGACTAAGCCTACATCAAAGGGTAAATACAGTCAAAGCATAAACACATTTTATCAACCCTATGGATATTATTAAAACGGAAAGGTTTGGGTCCATATATTGTTGTTTTTTAATTTTTGAAGAATTGGAACCACTGTATCTTTGGGGAAAGTTTCAAAAAGGGTTAGTTAGCTTTCTGGCACTATAACAAAATACCTGGGACAGACTGAAATATAAAGAAGAAAGATTTCCCCTTTTTCACAGTTGTAGAGTTTCAGGCCGTGTCATTTGGCCTTGTTGACTTTGTTCATGTTCTCAGGCAGTATACCATGAAGGGGAATCTAGGGCAAAGGGAATTGCTCACCTTGTGGTATCCAGGAAGTAATGAGACAGAGGATGGAAATGGCCAAAGTCACAATGTGCCTTTAACTGCTTGTTCCCAATGTCTAACTTCCTTTAGTGAAGCCACACTTCCCAAAGATTTTAGCAGGTCCCATAACAAACAAGGGTTAGTTAGCCATGATTAACTAACCCTGTACCCCATGAGCCTTTGGAGATGTAGACAATAGAACAGGTAATGCCATGTCTTATTCTTCGACATGTAATGCAAAACTAATTTTGGGTTTGTTTGTTTGTTTATTTGCTTGTTTGTTTTAATATAATTTCCCCTAGCTTGAGCTGTTACAAGTACTGTTTTCTTTCCTTTCCTTTCCTTTCCTTTCCTTTCCTTTCCTTTCCTTTCCTTTCCTTTCCTTTCCTTTCCTTTCCTTTCCTTTCCTTTCCTTTCCTTTCCTTTCCCCTTCCC